GTAGTGCCCACTTGTTGGGCCGAAATCTCGATTGAAGAGGAGGCGAGACGAAATTAAGCGAGGGCTTCGGCCGAGGGCTTGCTGAATTAGGGATTGCTACAGTAATTTGGTTTAGTGGACGAGAAAAAGTTATTTTCACATACAATCGTTTATTATCTTATTAATTTAATTAAGTCATATCAATTGTAATTACTATATTTATAAATTTTCATCATTACAATTTATTTATCTTCCTTTTTTTGTTGTAGAAAAATACTTTCAAACATTGTTTTCGAACGATATAACAAGTTTTCATGCACAAGAATATCACATTGTGCCATAGTAATCTACTTTAATAGAAAGAAATTTTGATAGGTGAACAAAGTTTCATTAAATAATGTATAAACAAATTCGGAGCAAGACCCCGACCAGCCTTTATGGAAGTTACTTTGGCGTACGCCGGCACCACAAAGGACCCGGACCTTTTTGTGGCAAGCTGCTAAGGGATGTCTTCTAACTAACCTGGAACGGGTCTGACGGCATTTGTCCACCTCGGCGGACTGTGACCAGTGCGGCGAGACTGAATTGATATTACATGTCCTTCGCGATTTCCTAGTCGCTAAAACCCTCTGGACATGGCTGCTTTCGATTGACTACCATAGTGAGTTCTTCCACCAGCCGCTCAAGCCTTCGTTGCGCACGAACTTGGCAAGGGCCCGGCTGGGAACGGTATACAATTGGAATACCATTTTTTCTATGGCGGCATGGCGAACATGGTGGTGGAGAAACGATTGGATTTTCAATCAACGATCTCTTAGCTGCGAATCGCAGTAGTGGGAGGTGGTGCGCCTGGCCGAGTAGCAGCAGCGCTTGAAAAGGTTGGAACCAATATACATGTCACTCAGATGATACATTAGGTTCCGCCAGAAATGAGGTGGTTCAAGGTGAACGCCGATGGTGCATGCGATAGCAAAACAGGCCACAGTAGTGCGGGTGGTTTAACTCAGAACGAGATGGGTAGATGGGTTGAGGGTTTTCTCATGAATATTGAGTCTTGCACCATCACGGGTGCCAAGCTTTGGGGCATGTTCCAGGGACTGCAGTTAGCTTGGGAGCATGGGAATCCGTCGAGTTATATATAGCCGAAGTGGACAGTCAATGTATGACGCAAATGGTCCTCGGTTCCGAGAACAATTGTAGGGCTCATGCCTTGCTTGTCAAGGCTATTCGTAGCATGGCTCAGAGGGAATGGAGCATTCGGATCCAACACGTATATATTGAGGCTAACTTTGCGGCGGATCATATGGCGAGCTTTGTGTACTCATCTTCTTTCGGGCTGCAGAGAGTGTCGTCTCTTCCGGCAAGATTGGGAGTGTAGCTTGACCACGACATTATTGGAGTGTTTTATCCCCGTCGAGTCCTAACCTAGTAACCTCTTCGGCCTCCGGTCNAAGTATAAACAAGCAAGTTTAGGGTGAAAAGAAAAAGAATGAAAATAAATATAGAAACACAAATTGAGGGAACGTAGTGGTTAGACCATTTGCACTGTCATATTATGTGAACAAAAGTAGTTACTTATAGTATCAAATGTTACAAATAAGTTTTTGTTATATTATGTGAACAAAAGTAGTTACTTATAGACTTATAGTATCATCAAATGTTACAAATAAGTTTTTGTTATTATTAAAGTATGATATTTTTTTAACACAATTATACATAATTATGAGAAAAATGTGTCGGACTGATGATTAGATGCCCAAATAGAAGAATTCGTCAATGCATAAACTATTTAACATTTAACTGCAACCCATATATGGTTAGGTCGTTTTCTAAAGACTCAATTTACATTTTGGACTTGAATTATTAATGGCTCGTGCACTAAACTCGTGAAATGGGGATACAATCTTAATAAGCATTAAAAGACCTCGTTCAAAAATTGAGATTAATTAAATTGAGATAAATTGACTGTTACCAAATATTTTGAGTCTCGTGACAAGGCTTCGTTACACTGCAACAAAATGAAATCCGTATACAATAAATACTAGTATATTCTTGGACCATTATTCACTTTATTGAATTGGTAAATTAACCCAGCTACTAAAACTGTGACAAAGTACGAAACAATATCTCTTCTAATAACACATACAAGTGTAAAAGATTATTGTGTCATTGTGTGTACGCCAACACCAATCAATATTATATATGTAAATTAGAATGATAAAATAACACTTGCTTCATCCAAATTTTGGCCATTCATATATACTCATACTAATATGTATAGTTTTCATAAAGAATTTTAAGTGAAAATTAATTCTATTGGGAAATGTCAGAGTTATTTTAGCTTTCACAACAAGAAAGAATAATAAAAGAAGAACAAGCCGATTTTCAGGCAAAAAAAGGTTTTTTCGTTCCTTAAGTCACCCCTATTTTGTTTTTGGTCCCGTTAATGGTCCATTTTTGAAAATAGTCTTATAAGTGAAAAAAATTTAGTTTTTTTATCCTTTGACCGCCTATAGCAGGTCAGTGTAACCGGATGAGCTA